TTTATTTTGATTTTTTAATTTATTCAAAAAAATTTTTTAGTCTCAGAGCCCCATTTTCCTAGCAAACCTCCCATATATTATATTTCTAGTATTAATAAATTAATAAATTACAGATTATATTAATTTAACATATTTTTACTTATAACGATAATATAACATTAAATAGTAGTATTTTAATATTTTTAAGATTATAATTTTGTGTTTTTTTTATAAAACTATTCTATTAAAAATAAATTTGTTTATAAATTTAAAATCAAAATCTGTTTAAATAATATTATTAATGTATATTTCTTGTAAATCATAATAGTAGATGAAGTATTTGATTGAGTTTTTTTTATTGTAATTTATTGGATTCATTAATATAATTTTAATAATGTCATTTATAATATAATATATTCACTAAAATTATAATATACTTTATACTTATTATGATGCTAAAAGATTTCAGCGGATTAAATTTGATAATTATATTAGAAAGTAAAAGGCATTATCTATAATATATCGAAAAATTTTAGAAATAAAAAGGATCTTTATAATAATTCAGTTGTCATTACTTATGGAGTGAGGACATGCATCAGGTCCTATAAAATAACTTTCTGCAGAACTTAAGAGACGTTGCTGCACTAGACTTTGTTTCTGAATTTTGAACCTCACAAATGAGTATGGTGTATACAGTCTAAAGCCACCATTTTTTATCATATGATTTTAAATTAATAGAAAAATAATTTTAATTAATAAATATTTAAAAATTTTTCTGTAAAATTGTAGTTTAAATAATACTCTTTTATATAACAGAAAGTTTTTTCAAAACGAATTACTGGAACATAAGTTATATAAGTTTAGATTTTAGTAACTTACTAATTTTAGTATAAATTTGGCCAGTTTAGCATTAATATAATGCAGAACAAAATTTACAAGCTGGCCAGAATTAAGAATTCAAAAAGTTTAATTTAACCTTGAATACTTCAAAGAGCGCTGTGATAATGGTGACGAATATGGTCACAACTATAGTAGATATAATGACATGTGGTAAAACTGAACCTTTAAACCTTCAAATATTTGGTCAATGATATTCATATGAATGATATTCCTCATCGATCACATTTTTATTTAGCATGAGAATTTTTATTTACTTTACTTGTGACAATCCACATTTGCAGATTATCATCATCTTTTTATAAATTAAAAATGTCACCAAAGAAACAATAGGTTTAGCTTGCAACTGCTCGAAATAGTAAAGCTTTAAAAGCAAAAAATGTAACTAATGAAGCTTGGTTAATAATTATAAACATTGATGATGATAATGAATTGTCAGATTATCATGATTCTTATTATAATTGACATGATAACGAATTTGAAAATAATTTAAAACAAATTTCACAAACTGTTTTTGATGTTATGATTGAAAATGCAAAAAATCCATCGGCATTTACAAATAATCATCCATTAGTTTATGTTAAAAATTCAGAAAGAACATGGAGATGCAAAAACTCAGTTAATAAAATTGTAACAGCTGGAATCTCCAAACTCAATACCTTTTTTCTCATACTTCAATCATGTCAACAGATATTACATCAATCTACAAAAGAACTTACAGATAAGTTATGATAACTTGAAAGTGATCAAGAACAAGAGAATTTTGAATTAGCATAAAAAGATTAGTTATATATAAGTCTCTAGATTTGCAAGTTAAAAACTGATTACAACTTATAATGCAATATATTAACCTACGATTAAAAGGACTTAAAGTATAAATGCAAGTAAAACTCTTGCAGTTAGCATTGGAAAAGGAGATTATCAAGTCTGACTAATTAGATCATGGACCCAAAATTTTATTATTCATCGTCAGATTCCAATATCAATGCGTAAAAAGCATCAGAAAATAAAAAGTTTATTAGGTGATGAAGATATTCATCAAATGATTACAGAATATCTTTGGAGTATTGGTTATAATGTAACAGTAAGTAAATTTAAAACTTATGTTGAACAAGAAGTATTCCAAGTATGAAAATTGAAAGAAAAATTACAATCTCTGAAAATATAGCTTGTGCTTGGTTAAAACATTTTGGATGGGAATTTCGTGTTATAAAAAAAGATGTTTATTATGATGGTCATGAAAGACCAGATGTAATTGAATATAGAAAACATTTTCTAAATAAAATTTTTGAATTGGAAAAATAGATGTCAAAACCATTAGATGATAATATAATGGTTTTAGAAGAACCAATTTTAAATGTAAATGAAAAACGTCATATATTAATAATACATGATGAATCTACCTTTTATGCTAACGATGGGAAAACTTTTTGGGAAACTGTTGGATATCAACCACTTCAGAAAAAAGGAGCAGAACTTAGTTTGCATGTTAGTGATTTTCTTACGAAGGTTGATGAACGTCTAAAAACTGAAGAAAAAGAAGCATGTGTTATAATAAAACCAGGAATAAATCGTGATAGATGGTGGAAAACAGATGATTTAATTAAATAAGTAATATTATTTGTTTTTATTTTTAAAACTTTTTTATTAATTACCTTTTAACATTAGATAACTGAAAAGGCAATCCTTATATTTGAAGAATTACATTCTGATGATATCGGTGTATTTGCATTTGATAATGCAACAAGTCATGCAGCATATGCTAAAAATGCACTTATTGCTTTACGAATGAACCTTAAACCTGGTGATAAAGGAAATTTAGAGACGGATTAATGCCTAATGGATCAGTACAGTTAATGCATTTTTCAAATGAACAAATCAAGTTAATTTTAGAAGAACGTGGGTTATGGCCTCAAAGTTAATTAAGACGTATTTGTGATGATTATAAAAAACACTCACCTGTTTCAGAAAATTGTTGTGCAGTTTGTGTGCTTTCTTTTCAGCCAGATTTTTTAGCACAAAAACTATTAATTAAGGAGATTATTGAAAATTGGGGTCATAAGATGATATTTTATCCAAAATTCCATTGTGAACTCAACTTTATAGAGATGTTTTGGGATGCTGCTAAACGATATGCTTGTAATAATTGTAATTATTCATTTAAGTCATTGGAAAAAATTGTTTCAGAAGCCTTAAATTCTGTTTCTTTAGAACAAATTAGACGATATGCCCATCGTTCTTGGAGATTTATGGACATGTATAGAAAAGATTTAACAGGCACTGCAGTTTATATGCCGTAAAACAATATAAGTCACATCGGAGAATTCCTGAAAATATGATGGATTTTTAATTTTTAATAATAAAACTATTGGTCTATTAAATCGAAATCATGTGATATAAAGTATTGACCAATAAAATTGTTTCACGTGATTTTATTAAAATTTGGCCACGAAATAAAAGTGGTGGCTTTATTTTAGACTGCGTGCACCATATTTAATATCATTTATTTATTTTTACAGATTTGCTCGATAGATTTAAATATCCACAGGTAATTAAGGATCGGACCCGATCAATTATTGTTTTGATCTTTATAAACAACTATCATTAAATTTCGAGAAATCCAATAAGCTATAAAAAATCGTTATAGGATCACTAGATATTAATTAAGATGGCAATTTATACAAATATAACCTCAATATTGCTTCTTTAGATTTCAATGAGCTAAAGGGTAGTTAGTTCTTGATGTAAAGATAATCAAGATTTACTGATTTTAGTTATAGTGAATGTAGTTAACCCGATCCGACCCGACCCTTTCGGATCTCTCTATCTTTTGACTGCTGAAGCCCAAGAATTTCGCTAATTGTCATTTTTTAAAGGCTTCAAAATTTATAGAAGAAATCAAGGCTATATCGTTTCCAGTGTTAGTTCATTCTCTTATAAAGTAAGGAAGGCAAGAATAATTATATACTGCTAATGCTGTAATGATAATTAAAGGTTTTGTTTGCCTAATATTTAATGTATTTATTTATTGAATTAATGAAAAGATGAGATGATAATCAAACATCTAATCACGTGAAATCATATTGTGGCTTTTGATCTCGAATATATAACAACATTTTCCCAATGGCTTCGTTTTTTTTCTCACCCTTTCTCTCTCCTTATATTTATATATTATTTTCTCATAACATTTATGTAAAAATTATGGCCTCTCGCCCTAAGGGATTAAAAGTCACCGATTTCGTTGAAAGACCTTGTTTTGGTCGTAACGGTCGAGAAATACGTGTTCGTGCAAACTTTTTTGAGGTTACTGCCGTTCCTGAAGCAAATATCCACCATTATGATATTGCTATCACTCCCGAAGTACCTCCATCATTAAACAGAAAAATTTATAAACAATTTGAATTTATTAATTGTAAAAACAATAATATCCTACCCGTTTATGACGGACGAAAAAATATTTTCACTAGTAGTCCGCTTCCTTTTGGAGAAGCAGCCAGTTTTGAGGTTAATCTTCAGGAAGACGATGGAAGCACATCATCTAAACGTCCGCCAAGAACGTTTAAGATCAAATTTAAGAAAGTTAACGAAATTAATATGGAAGAATTGCAGCGGTTCTTGGACGGAAAGTCACAACTAAATTCAAACATATTAACGGGAATAATGGCTTTGGATGTGCTTATTAGACATCAGCCTTCAATGAAATATGTTACTGTCGGCAGGTCTTTCTATACACCTGAAGGTTCTCGAGCTTTGTCCGGTGGCGTTGAAGTTTGGCAAGGCTATTATCAGTCGGCACGTCCTACTCCAGGTTCATAAATCTCTAATGAATTCAAATTTATTTTTCCCTTTTTTCAAAAATTTATTTTTTTTGCATTTGTTTTAAATAATAACGTAGGAAAAATGATGATTAATATTGATTTGAGTGCAACCGCGTTTCATGAAAGTGGTTCTTTAATCAATGTTGTCCTTAAATTACTTGGAAAACGAAGTATTGATGATTTGCGCAGAGGAATTAATGAAAGGGAGCGTGTTAAGCTTGATAAAGAACTTAAACTTCTTAAAATTCGAGTTATTCATCGTGGTGAAAGTAATAGCAAACGAAGTTTCAAGATTTCAAAAATCTCTCCTCTGAGTGCACAACAAACAAAATTTGATGATGCAGATGGTCATAAAACTGACGTGCTTACATATTTTCAAAAAACTTATAATAAACATCTTACTTATCCACATTTACCTTGCGTTATAGTTAAAAAGGACATTAGTCTTCCAATGGAAATATGTGAAGTTATTGAAGTAAGCATATTATATAATTCATTTATTATTATTTATTCAATTTCAAATTAATTTATATATGCACAATATTTCTTTTTAAAAGGGTCAACGTCAAATTCGAAAACTCAACGAAAAGCAGACTGCCGATATGATTAAATTTACATGTCAACAACCACATATTCGAGCAAATAAAATCAAAGCGGGCCTTGAAATACTCAATTATCGTAATAATGATCAAATGACTCAATTCAACATGAAAGTGTCAAATGAAATGGCTTTAGTACAAGCTCGAGTATTGCCTACACCCACAATTAATTATCATACTAGTTCTAAAGATGCATCTTTCACACCAAGGGAAGGATCCTGGAATTTGAGGGATAAGAAAGTTGCTGAGGGTGCTACACTTCGTTCATGGTCTGTCTTAGTCTTTGGAACAGAACCAGATTTTCCAATGCAATCTGTTCAAAATTTTGTTCGGGAATTGGTTATAGTTTGCTCGGATACCGGAATGAATATTCCAACCAAAACTCCACCGATAATACATAAAAACGCTCATAGCGATATTGGAGAGAGCCTAAAACAAGCGTGGATACGTGCTGGTAATGCTGCAAAATCTCAGCCCCAATTGATTTTATGTATCCTACCAAATACTGGTGTACAACTTTATGGTTCTATCAAATGCGCAGGTGATACAATCATCGGTGTAGTTACTCAATGCATACAAAGCAAACATATGTTTCAGGCGAAGAAACAATATTGTGCCAACGTTTGTCTTAAAATTAATGTCAAACTTGGTGGAATGAATTCATTCCTTACACCAAAACAAAATCCATTTCTTGCTGAGAAGCCTTCAATTTTGATGGGCGCTGACGTGTCGCATCCCTCACCTGGATCAAATCGTCCATCGATTGCTGCGTTATGTGCTTCTATGGACTCTAAAGCTGTTCGATATGCAGCTGCAATAAGACGGCAGGATTCTCGCACGGAAATCATTGCAGATTTAGCAAACATGGTTAAAGACATGTTAAAAGCCTTTTATAAAAATTGTGGAAGGAAGCCTGAAAGAATTCTTTTTTATAGAGATGGCGTTTCGGAAGGACAATTTGCACAAGTACTCGAAGGAGAAATTAGTGCAGTCAAGGGTATGTTGCAATTAATAATCTCTATTATTAAACTACTTTAAAAATTTATTTATAATTTATATTATATAATTAGCCGCATGTCGAGATCTTGATCAGACATATTCACCAACAATTACATTCGTCGTCGTTCAAAAGCGTCATCATGCACGCTTCTTTCCAGTTGACAAGAAAGACTCGGATCGAACTGGCAATTGTCTTCCAGGTACCCTTGTTGAAAAAATGGTTGTGCATCCTGTAGAATTTGATTTCTACTTACAAAGTCAGGCCGGTTTGCAAGGAACGTGCCGACCGACACATTATCATGTTTTATATGATCAAAATTCTTTCACTCCCGACTCGCTTCAAACTTTGTCATACAATTTGTGCTACATATACGCGCGATGTACTCGTGCAGTCTCTTTAGTTCCTCCAGTTTACTATGCTCATATTGTTTGCAGTCGAGCTCGTTTCCATGCACATGGCGACAATTTTAGTGAAGATTCATCTGTGGAGGGAGAAGTTACCTTTGGTAAAGTATTACCTGAATTACTAAAAGTTATGTACTTTATGTAAAGTAGAAAAATATAGAATAGGGAATATAGAATATAATATTTTAATAGAAATTATAACATTCGCTTTGAATAAAAATGTTTCTTTTAAATCAAATTAATAAATCATTCGTTTAAACCACAAAATAAAAAGATGGCTTACTTTTTTTTTATTACTATTTTGTTTTTGTATTTTTTCTGATGTAAAATTGCATTGGCAATACAAATAAGGGATATTTAGGAGGTTCAAAAGTTTCAAAATCAGAATCCCGGAAGCGGGTCTGAAATGAACAAATATAGTAAATTTCTTAAAAAGGGTTGAAGTGGGGGAATTTATAATCATTAATGTTGCTATTTTAAAACATATTGACGTAATTATCTAAAAACATTGGATTAATTGGATTAATTGATCACTTTTTGTGATTTGTCATACATCATTTTTAAATGATTATGTAATAAATTCCTCGAAACTTCATATTTATTTTCTCCGTCAATATTTATTCATATTCCTTATTGAATCACTGTATTATAAAACTGTACTTGTGTAAATTTTCTTTTTCAAATTTATTATAAACTTATTTTATTTGTATATTCCCTTTCTTTATTTTATTATTTTCAAAGACGGTTACATATTTTTTGGTTACTAATTCTGAAGTTCATTTTTATTTGTTAATTTGTAAGATTTGTTCTAAAGAAGTTTGTGTTTTGATCTATTTATTTTTATTTATTTAATAATTTTATTTCATTTCCCTCCCTTTCTGTTAGGTTATACTGAATTTACAGGCTCAAATTATAGTTATTTTCGATTCATTTTTTTTAAAAAATTATTTATATTTTATTTTTGCTATTAGGTAAGAAATTGAGATATCTTTGCTACCATAACGATATAATGCTTTATACTTTTAAAATATTATCTGAGAAATCGAAACTAACGAGAAATATTATCGTCATTTAATAGGAGGAAATTTAGTATTTCAACAATATGCAAAAAACGGATTCGGGTTTTTATGTTATCGATGTTTTACCACTACATAATACTAGCAAACGTCCATTCCATCTCGAGAAAAGGATGAAATCCAAGAAATCCTTTTCCTCATATAAACATGGTCATGGTGATGATAAACTTATGCAATATAGCCCATATGATGCTCAAATTAAAAGAGAGGCTATCCTTGAACAAAGGCGTCTTAAGTTAGCACGTCAATTCTTGCACGTAAAGGATGTTCTTATTAAACAACATCAACGTGCTCTTAGTGATTCTTCTGCCAAGAGATCACAAATTCAACAAACTTTGCGACTCGCCGAGAAGAATAGGAATACCATCCTGCAACGATTGGTTGAGCAGTGTGCTCAAGAAGTTGCTAGATGCAAAGAAGTTGCGCGTCAACAACAACTTAAAAACCAAGAGGAAATTGATAGGCGTCGTGCTGATTTGGAGCGGCGCCAAAGGGCTACTGCTGCTCGTCGTGCCAGACTCCTTACAGTGCCAAAATCTCGTATTTTCTCTAGCGAGATGACTATCCCTCCTACTCGTGATGAAGCCGCTGTTATTATTCAAAACCATTGGCGTTACAGAAAATTCTCTAAAGTTATCAAAACTTATCGTAGCTTTGATATTTCTGTTCGCACCATTGAAAACATGTCTTTCCATGACACCGTAGGATTGTTACAAAAACCGGCAGTTATTCAAGCCACTAGTAAATTATTACACGAGGTTTTAAAAGCTTCCCCTTTAACATGTGATACGAAAAAGTATAAAAATCCTGCTAGAGTGTTTTTAAGTGCTTACATGATCGTGTCCCATACCAAGGAAATTATTGTCGATATCGGTCATCATGAAAGGGTAAGTAAATTTGTGAATTCTCACTCCCATATTATGCTTAGTTTTTTTGGTTTATAATTGGGGGTGATGGTGTGGGTTGAAAAACGAGGAAAATAAAAATTTTTTTTAAGAGGGATTAGTTAGTTTATTTATTTACGTCTTGGTAGATATGATAATGGATTTAATATAGGTAGACTTTTAGTGCGATCATTGATAATTCATTTTAAATTATTTACAAATTTTATTATTATAATTATAATTATTTGGATACTTATCAAATGCTTTTGTTTTCTTTTTTTTTTCTTTCCAAACTTTATTATCATTCAAAAATCTGCGGACTTAGAATCTCTTGACTTCAGCCAAGATTATGTTAAAAGAAATTGAACAATGGTTCTATGAAATAAGCAATGATGGACCAAATAAAATTCATTATGGTCATCTCCTCAGCTTTCTTTCTGCGTGGGATACCTATTATAACGATTTCAATACTTGGAAATCCAAGGATAGCCAAAAACTCGCTAGTAATCTTATCGCACATTACATGGAACTTGAAAAATTGTGGAATACAGTTAAAACACAGGCTAATGCAGAAACCGAGTGGAGAATGAATATTGTATATCAACAAGATGAGATCAGACGTAAAGTTAGGAACTTGGGTGGAGTTGAGGCGATTTCCAAATTGGAAAGAGTATTGAGAAGATTGAAAGAGAAACTTCCAAATGAAAATGGCGAAGAAACTGGTACATCAGATTCTGTTGCTGGAGCTAATAATGAAGGGACTGAAGTGATCAAAGAACAAGATTTGTTGAGTTCTCCACCGCGACAAAAATTTGTTCCTTCTGCTTTGGCCACTAATGTTTCTAATAAATTGGCACAGAATTTATCTCCATCAATTTCCAAATCATCATCGTCTACGACTTCTTATTTTACGTTTTCTCCTAGTACTAGTCCTCCAGTTTCTCCGTCGCAATCTTCGGCGAATGCAGATCTTCATCGTATCATGCAAAGTTTGGGTGCTCATGAAGGGTACGGTCTGACAAATGAGCAACTTGCACATGAAATTATTATTGATCCCGAATTTGAGCTACAACCTCCAAAGAGGACGGAATTAGAAGAACGTGTTAGATCTATGGCTACTAAGGCATTCTTCGATTCCGCTAGAACAGATTTTGAAAAGGGAAAATATGATGTTTGGATTCCTAACCTCCTCGGCGATATTAAAGAGGTTTGTACAATAGAGTCTATAAATAACATTTTTATAATAACATAGTTTTTTTACTTATTGTCTCTTTTTTTTAAAAAAAAAAATAGCGACTCATTGATTTGGTTCCTCCATCTTCTCCATTGCATTCATCCATCAATGAAATCCTTGATATTGATTTGATTAAACAACAGACCAAAGCTGGTGTATATAATATTCGTAATTGTATTGTTTATATTACCAATACAATGTTACAAATTTGTGCACCTGTCCGAGATGAGCAAATTCAAGAACTTAAATATGTAAATGATCTTGCAGAGATTTTTAAGCGTATATTGGAAATCATGGATCAAATGAGGTTGGATCTTACTAACTATCGAGTTAAGGCATTTAGGCCTTATTTGAAAGAACATGCTGTTGATTATGAAAGACGCAAATTCGAACAAGCGTTGCAATCAAATCGTTTAACCCTTAACCAAACTAAAGCTTGGTTAACTCCAACTATTGATTCATTGTTATGTACAGTTGCAGAACGTAATCCTGAGAATATTTATCTCCCACAGCATAAGCATAATCATGGTATCAAATTTGATCAAGTATATAATGAGACATTTATCTCATTTATTTTCCAACAATCAATTATTAATAAAAATAATTGTCCTGAAACATTTCTCCTTGATGTTGAAAGGCTTTGGAACTTTCAAAACGAATGCCAGGCCATTACTATTGTGGCTGCTCTATTGATGCTTACCAAGAACGTGGCTATCAGTCATGCTAATGCTTCATCCATCGACGATAACCTTACTAAATTAAAGGATACTTTCTTTGTTTTATTGATGGATGGTGATATTACTATCGATAACTTATCTGCAGCGATTTTGGATTATCTTCCATCATCTCTCTCTTCTGAAACTCAAACCCTTGTTAAATCAATGGTTTCTAAGACACTTTCCCAATCTGACAAAGTTTTTTCAATCTTATCTCGTCGAATTCAAAGTATTATTAAGCAACATCTTCAGACAGGTCAATTTCCTAAAAGAGAAACATTGACTCAATATGGCGTATTTATTGTAGCGAAGGAATTGGAACTACTAAGTAAGAAAATTAGTATTCTAGGAAGATATAATCGTGAAGTTTATGCTAGTTGGTATGATACTGTTATTAAAGAATATTTGGATGTTCTTAATGAAGCAAAACAAAAGAGCAACCAAACCAAAAAGGGCAAATCGAAAAGTATTGAATAATAACAAAAGAATTAATTAATCAAATTTCTCATATTTAACTTATATTTATGCGATAATGTAACTTGCACAATGTTGCTCATTCCATTATATTTTAAATACAGACATTTTTATGTTCTTTGATTTAATAAAATGAATTTATATTTATTTATTTAGGTAAAAATCTGTAAAATTGATATAGAGTCTATTGAGATTTTTATTTTAATTTTTTAAAAAAAGCGCATATATCCGAATTTCGGGGGGTTTATAAATAAATTAGATTACTTATTATACAATTGTTATACAATGTTACTAAATAAATAATTATTTTGTATATCGATCATTTTTAATAAACATCTCAATTATTTTTTAAATCAATCATATCTTCGCGACGAACACCAACCCCAATCCATTCAACTAAACAGTAAACGTGAAATTAATGTTTTAAGTATTTTATAAATATCATTTAACATACATAAATGAAGAAACTTACTTGGAACTTCTAAATATTTCTCGATTCTTTTTACGTAATTTTGTGCGTTTGTCGGCAAATCAGAAAATCGACGACATTTTGAAATATCGGTTTTCCATCCCGGTAGTGTCTCATATTGAATGGTAATTTTTTCAAGGAATTCCAAGTCCGCTGTGTAAAAAAAAAGTTGATTATAATTTTAGAATTAAATGCTCCAAAAATATTGTTTACATCATGATACGATAAAATAATTATATATACCTGGAAAACTTTCCAAAGGGGTTCCATCTAATAAATACGCAGTTGCAATCTTAATTTCTGGAAGGTTATCCAGGACATCAAGTTTTGTTAGGTTGAGACTAAAGGATCCAAGTGTTAATAAGTTTCAGTTGTCAAAGACATCAAAAGACCACGTTATTTATCTGCTCAAATTTATATTTACCTCGTATAACCGTTGATAAGAGTTGAATACTTCAAAACTACGAGATCAAGCCACCCACAACGTCGCTTTCTTCCAGTAGTAGCACCTATTTCTGCGCCAACACGCTGTAGATATTCTCCAATTTCCTATAGGATCACATTAAATTAAATATTAAATTGATCATTTTGAAAATAACAAAATAAACTTACATCAAGTAATTCGGTAGGGAAGGGTCCGCCTCCTACTCTTGTTGTATAGGCTTTCATCACACCAATGACTTTATCGATTTTGGATGGTGGAATACCCAATCCAGTACTAACGCCACCAACAGTAGTGTTAGAACTTGTTACAAATGGGTAAGTACCAAAGTCAAGATCGAGCATCAAAGCGTTGGCACCTTCTACAAGGATTTTTTTCTTTGAATCTATACATTGGTGCATGAAAGTTACACTGTCAACGACATAGGACTGAAGGCGAGTAGATAATTCCTATTTATTGAATATATTTTTAATGATTATTAAAAGTTGATATATTAGATTTAATAAAAAATCAAAAAAAAAAATCACACATATATTTATATATATATACCTTGTATCGCTCAATTTCTGCTTCAACATTGTATTCGAAATTCCCGTATCGTTTCTTTCGGTTCGCGACTAATTTTCGAAATTTTTCAGCAAATGCTTGATGATTCGACAAATGGTGAACCCGCAAACCAGAACGTGAGGCTTTTGATGAATACGCTGGTCCAATACCTTTTTTGGTTGTACCGATACTAAAAGATTTCCAGAACAAGGAAGGTCTCTCATCAGATCCAGAAACTCACAAGACTACAGTTAAATTTTATTCTCTCGTAGCATGATTTTTACGAACAACAAATTGACAGCTCTTATTGGATATCATGAAAAATACACCTTGAACGACCAAGTTCTAATTCTTTCAACCCATCAACAATCTGATAGAAATCGAATACTAAATGCGCACGATTCGATAGAAAGATACGGCCTTTAACATCCAATCCTAAATTATATAATCCTATAAATATATTAATTCAATTTTGATGATTACCATATAATAACTATATACCTTTTGCTTCCAGTTGTTCTAATTCGGAAAAGAACGAAGGAAGGTGAACAACAACTCCCGATCCGATAATAGATATGCATTTAGGATTGATCAAACCTATTAAATGTAAGAATTATCACTTTGCAAATATACTTACTTCATAAGACTTTGTTTATAAAAAATTACCGGAAGGAAGCATATGGAAATCATACTTAGTACCATTAACTACAATGGTATGTCCAGCATTATTTCCTCCCTAAAAATATATAGGGTCATGAAATAAATGTTTTTAAAAGGCAGTGGAAAGAGTGGTCAACTCAAAAGCATACTTACTGCGCAACGTGCGCATACTTCAGCCTCTTGTGCCAAAACATCAACCAATTTACCCTTTCCTTCGTCGCCCCATTGAGAACCTAATACAACAGTAATGCCTTTATCTGAAAGATTTGATTTTGAAAATTTACTCATTTTTGATGCTAAAAAAGTTTGTACGAGAAGAATAAATAAATAAATATTTTTTTTTTAACAAATTTATTATGCATTATTTGATTGGCTGTCTACATTTTGAGATCTCATTGGCCACAATAAGCAACTTAATTATCTTTCTTTATTAATAATATTATATTAGTATTAGAACCAGCATCGACTCAAAATTTGAGCGAGTGGATATCAGGACATTTCTGTGTTACGCATTGTAGACCATTTATAGTTCTTCGTTTCGCTTCGGATCCGGACTGATTAAAAATTGTTTGTAAACAGGATTATTAGTTTCATCAACAACGTGGTACCCTAAATTATTCTTAAAAATTTCAAATTCTTCGGAATCCTGAGGCGGAACTTGAATTCCAACCAAAACTTTGCCAATATCTGTAACGATAATATGAGCTTGATTAATATAGAAAATTTTTACAAGAAACCCGAGAAGTTTCTTATTAATCATACCCGATCCATGATTACGATAATGAAAAAGTGAAATATTCCAATCCGACCTAAGTCCACATAAGAATTTTTGAAGTGCTGCAGGTCTTTCAGGAAATTCTATAAAAAATTACAAGCTATTTAATGAGATATCTTTAAAGGACTAAATCACGTGAAATAGTATATTAAAAATACCAAATCTATATAATCGTTCATTTTTGACTTTACTTCTGCCTCCTACTAGGTACCTAGCATGACTCTTAGCCATCTCATTATCGCTAATATCTTGTCCGTCCATATCATTTTCTTTCAAATTTTGCAAAATTTTAGGAAGCTCTTCTTTACGATTTTTAACCATGAATGACATAAAAATCCATGCGTTGTCTGAATCAGAGTACCTTCAATAAAATTCGTTAGTGTTAATTTAAAATTAGTAATATCATAAACAACATACGTAAATTATTACCTATAAGAGAATTCTGTTATTGGGCGTGGATAAATATGATTATAAAGTTTAACGAAACTAATTCAAATGCAATATATTAGTGATTCATAATTAATATTTAAGCTCAATCGATTGAAGTGATCTACACCTTCCAGGTCTTTCCGGTATAATAACGGATATCAAAGCTTCATTAAGTTCAGCACGTTCGGCAACAAATCTAAGTCGATCAAAATTCATATTTGCTCCTGACGTGACGGCTACAAATATACCACCACTCAAATTATTGTCGGCTATATATTTTTTAACACCTGCTACCCCAAGTGCACCAGCAGGTTCTACAATAGATCGAGTATCTATAAAAATTAAAATGTAAAGAATGTCATTACCAAGCAATAAAGTTTTGCGTTTAATTAAAGTGATTCAAAAAAAAAGTGTTATCGTGCCTTCAAAAATGTCTTTGATTGCAGCACAAATTTCATCGGTGGATACCAAAATCATATCATCCACCACCTCTTTACATACTCTAAAGGTTTCTTCTCCTACAATTCTAACAGCAGCTCCATCAGCAAACAAACCGACTTCATCAAGTGTTTCACGTCTTTGATTTTTTAATGACAAAGTCATTGCATTAGCATCATATGTTTCAACTCCAATTATCTTGATATTAGGCCATAACCTTTTGATGTAACTTCCAATACCAGCGATAAGACCACCTCCCCCAACGCATGCGAAAATCGCGTCAATATGATCCAAATTGTGTAAACTGTGTTGACGGATGATCTCCATCGCGATTGTTCCTTGACCAGCTATAACGTATGGGTCATCATAAGGAGGAATATTAGTAAGTTTCTTTATCTCGGCGAGACGAGAACATTCTTTCTTGGCTTCATCAAAATCATTTCCGTATAAAACAACTTCAGCACCAAGCCGTTCAACATTACGCCACTTAATTTCTGGAGTTCCGCTGACATTCTCCAAATAAAAATAGAAGTAATTATGCGTAGTGTAAAATTTTATGTAAGATTTTTTTTTTTTTTTTTTATAAAATTAAAACGATTATGAATGATGAAAAATCGCATACGATGGCATTACGATAGTTGCCGAAAGTCCAAGATGTTTTGCAGACATAGCAACTCCTTGTGCGTGGTTTCCTTAAAGGATGTACCATCAATTTGCAGTTTGAATTAAAATTATCAATTTATATAATTCTTGATTTATAATAATACAAAAATATATTAACTTAATAACAAACTTACCAGCAGAACATGCAATAATTCCTCTTTTCCTTTCCTCATTACTCAAATGAGCTATCTTATTATAAGCACCTCTAATTTTAAAAGAAAACACTTCGTGTAAATCCTCTCTTTTTAAAAAGATTTTATTCTTCTTTTTTAAGGAAAGGTTTACAGCATGTTGCAAAGGAGTTTCTTTAACAACTTCATAAACCTTTGAGGTAAGTATTAAACGAAGATAATCGGGACGAAAATCGGAAATGTTATTTGATAGGTGGGGCGACGGCGATGATGTATCGGTTTCTATAAGAGCTTTTCCACTTGGGTGTGGGTAATCATTTGTTCTAATATTTTCGGATGGCCTTTGTTTTTCTAGAGAATCATTTTTTTGAGGCTCATTATTATTCTTAACCATGTTGAGAAATTTTTTTAATTTTTCTTAGAAAATATATATCGATTCATTATTTTAGTTTATCTACAAAAATAACGACATATGACGTATTTACTTTACGTAAGTTACACCAAAGATTAACCCCGCACATATATAAAATCCGGTTTTACCTTTTTTTCACCTTTTAAATTGTCAAATGCCGGATCCAAAAGTTTCGTATGCTCCTATTAAACGTGGAGGCACAATAAATATAGATAAAATAAATGTTAGAACACCAACAAAGTAAGTGGATTTTAATTCAGTGATCAAACTGACTGTGAAGACATTGTACCGATTGTTACGATATTTCGTACGATCTACTTCGGTAGTTTTCAATAAGAATGTTACCGTATAGTTATAATGTTCTTCGTAAGTCAAAAGATCTAACTATAATTTTTTTTTATTTAATTTACATTTCACTTCCTCAAACCTAAGTATACCCGTACACCTACTTACTTTCCTCACTATTTCCAAGTTTATACATGCTTTATCAACATACATAGCTCGTGATTGGTTCCTTCTACGTGGAGCTCCAGTGTCAGTCGTAACGTTTGGAGTTTTAGGAGGAGCTGGTCTTTTGTTATTAGCTTGGCAAAAATCCGCGAATAGTCATCGAACACTTATCAGCATGAAAGTAAGATTAATTTATTATTAAGTGGTTTTTATTGTAATTTCTTATCGTTAATATATATGTATCTCTCACAGTGGCCAAAAGTTGCGTTGTATACTCTAATATATACCGCTCAAATTTATTTATGGTTCGCGGGATTATCACGCCTAAGATCGACAAGGTGAGATATATAATTTTAATTGTTTTTTATCCTTATATTTTTGAATTATATTTTGAATTAATCAACTAAATCATGCGAATATCTTGGTAGAACTTTAATATTAACACAATTTTCAGAAATATGGAATATTCCATTTATAACGTGTCTATTAAGAAATAATACATCTTTAGATTCTACATTAACGGTAATATAACTTATTTTAAGTTCACGTTTTTTGATTGATAATTTTAACATTATTTCAAATCATTTAGGTTAAGGGAGCAAATTATACAACATTGACCCTAATCTTGTCGTTTTTTGTAGATTTAATATATGTCTTAAGTAGATAAAATTATAAATTATTTCTTCAATTTGTCGAGTTTTCTGTATTTAAGTAATTCCTTTGTTTTATTAGGTACAAATTCTAAACCTTCAATTCCTTTATCACAAGATATGGAAACAATTATTGATGCCAGTTATTTTGAAAATCATTCAATTGGTAGTCTAGTTATTGGGTATCTTTCTATACTATGTTCGATCGGGTTATCAGGTTATAAACAAACGTTAGGGAAAAAGCTAGCTGTCGATGTGGGTGGAAATAGACGTTTACTTGCTATTTCTGTCCCTCTTGGGGCGTTAATGATCTCACCCTTAGCTTTTGTTCAATATCTTATGGTATATATCATAAAAATTTTTATTACTCATACATTATTTGAAATATTCGAATTAAAAAATTTTTTTTTAATAGTACTCTACAAGTTACTTAGAGAATATTAAACACGAGGTTGTGGCATGTGGAGGGTTGGGAGCTGGTCTAATTATATCAGACTATTTTGTTGGACATTCGATTGGTATAAAAGCTTCCACACTTTCTCATGTTACAGCAGGTTGGCCAATTTCAATTGCAAGTTCTATTTTTTTAGGATTATTTTATTTTTATGAAGAATTTTCGATTCTGGATATAATGTTGGCAGGTATCATGTTTTTGGGAATTTATAATTTGATAAGTGCTGATACGCGATACGCAAATGAAACACATTTTCTATCGCCTGGAGTTGGTAGTAGTGCCTTTGAGCTCCCGCTTCATGGCAGCGCAAATTCTACAATTCATGCATTAAGAGGATTCGGAATCTTGGAAAATATAAGTTCCTATATCAAAATTATCTTGGATAATCATGATTCGCGGCAAATCTTTTATTTTTTATTATTAAATTTGAGCTATATGTTTGTTCAAATGGTATACGGGATCTGGACCAATAGCTTGGGTTTGATTTCGGATGGTAAGGTTGTGGTACGTTAAGCCCTGCCCAATAATTAATTATACCTTAACTTGAAAATTAAAAAAAAATTGTTCTCATGATTTTCGTATTTTTAATTTTTTTCACCCTAATTTTAGCTATTCACATGTTCTTTGATTGTTTGGCATTGGCGGTTGGACTTTTTGCTGCTATCATGAGCAAATGGCCTGAGAACAACAAGTTTACATATGGGTAAATATAAGAAATAATTTGACATTGCATTTTCTCAATTACATTCAAGGGTGTTATTTTATGTTATATAGGTATGGAAGAATCGAAACACTTTCAGGGTTTGCGAACGGAATATTCCTCATTTTGATTTCTATATTTATCATGTTTGAGGCTATCGGTCGTTTAATTGATCCTCCCGAAATGAACACTGATAGATTATTATTAGTAAGCTTCTTAGGATTTGTTGTTAACCTGGTGGGGATTTTAGCATTTAATCATGGGCATCATCATGGGCATCATCATGGACATTCTTATAGTCATGAACATGGAGATGACCATGACCATAATAATGTTAATCATAAGAATCATCATCACAGTCCTGATGCAAATCACAGCAGTCTTCATCATCACCACCATCATCATGAACACGGCGATAATGCAAATATGGAAGGTTTGTTATCTTTTTTAAAATATCGATTGATTTACAAATTATCAAATTTAGAATTGCTTGCTTTAAAAAGGTATTTACCTACATATACTGGCTGACACGCTTGGTTCGATTGGAGTAATAATTTCAACATTACTTATTAATCAATTTGGTTGGACTGGATTTGATCCTTTGGCTTCAATATTGATTGCTACATTAATTTTCATGAGTGTTGTGCCATTAGTTAAACATTCAGCTGCAGTTTTAATGCTTTCAATAAGTGATAATCTTGAGTATCGTATAACCGAAGGATTACACGAGGTAAAAAAAATCCTCTCTAATTTGTTTGTAAATCACGTGTTCATTTATTAATTATTTTGTTAATATTAGCTATTACATGTCGATGGAATCATTTCTTATACAATGCCACGATTTTGGCCTAATGATGGTCAATGCTTAATAGGAAGTATACATATTCAAATTAAAGATCAATTTGAGGAACAATTTATAATCAATGAAGTGACGCGGGTTTTAAAATCACATATAATAGGATTAGCAGAATTAACAATACAAGTAGAGAAAAATCAAGGATTTAAAGGGTGTTTGTGTAATTCTAAAAATTCTAGTAGTAATGATTTAAACGTTATTAATAATAATAATAATTATAATAATAAAAGAAAAAGTTATTAATTTATTTTAAATTCTGATAGTGATAAATTTTTTTTTTTAAAAAAAAAAAATAAAAATAAAAATAAAAATAAAAAAAATAATAAATTAAAATGAAATAAAAATGAAATGATAAAATATTTATATAATTATTATATATTTTTACATGCTAAGAAATAAAACTTATAATCAAAAAAAAAATTATTGAGATCATTAGAACTCAACATGATATTTTATCATTTTTATAATCTTTCATGTAGAGTCCAACGGCCATTAAATCATCCTTCCCTCCTGCAGCATGTAAATACTTGGATAACACCTCACGATCTGCTTGGGGTATAATATCACATAATTTATTCAACGCTGTCTCATCCACATCAATTGAATTTGAATTGGGATCGTTTGTTTCGTTGATAGACGTAGGGAATGTTAGAGTTGATGATCCCAAACTGAAACGAGAAGAAACAGATTGAAAGCTAAATCTACGTTGACGTGGTTTGACTGATACAGTTTTCGAAATTTTACTAGACGAAGTAGGTGAGGTTAGTGAATTAGCGGAAGGATCATTCATTACAGCTGGAGGCATGAAAATAGGTAGTCTATTAGATTTACTAAAACTATTATGTCGACTAATGTTAATAAAATTAGGCGTTTTCGATCTAGGTGATAAAGGAGGTGACATGTGACCTCTTAATGAACTAGCCTGAATTGCTAAATCTAAGGAACTTCGAGAATTGCTCGATTTTGCTGTTTTATCAGAGCTCATCGTACTCGAGTTTGTAAACGAAATATCTGCAGAATATACTGTAGTTGAACTCGAAACAGTAGACAATGAAGGCTGACTGCTGGTACTTATGGCTAAAGCCGGATTAGAATATATTTTATTATTATTAATAGAAGTATTACTCAAAGTAGAAGACGTTCTGTGTGACCTTTTTTTGTAATCTATTCAAATAAAAGAATCAATCATTAAGAGGAAGCTCATAAGATAAAAAAAAAAATATACTAGTATGCATACTTTTTACAATTAGTGGAGGTTCCTTCCCAATATTTATACTAATCCATTTTTGTAGGCCCGTGGTTTCTCTTTTCAATGAGTTTAATTTCGCAGCTAAATTTATGAAAGGAATATGAATAAAAAATCACTATGTGATATTATTATTATTTTTTTTTAATTTTTAATTTTTTTTACCGTATGCGTTAGTTCTTTGCACCTGATTCTTTATTTGTTTGATATCATATGAATTCAATGCCTCAGGCGCAACGCGTCCCTTTCTAAACTTGATATTAAGTTCTTCATCAATACCATCGGAATTCTTATCAGTATCAATTGATGTTGATACCAAGTTTTCATCAGGCAAATCGTCTTGAGAAGAATGCACTTCTGTGTTGGATTCAAGAGATTCGAATGGATAAAAGTTATCCGATACAGGTGGCTGAGAATTCATTAATTCTTTGAGACGATTTATTGGTTCAAACAGGCTATCTTTTCGACCTTCACTATGTTCGAGTGTATCTTCATTATGTGAAATACCTTCTGGTTCCTCTGAAATTGTTAAATTATTAATTGTGGATTGATTGAAAACGTCGTCAATGACATCATTAACTGATGACTTGTTTCCAGAATTGTCAATTAGAGCATTATTATTAACCAGATTTTCCTCCTCCGATTCATTAATTGTCTCGGGAATATAACTGAGCTTTAATGGTGATGAAATTCTAGAAGAATGTGGAACGTGTTGTTGAACATCAGAAGTTGATATGTAATTAGAATTCTCGGATATATTACTCTGAGATTTTAGTAAGTGATCTGATACATCATCAACAAAGTTATTTAAATCCACCTTCGTAATTAAATCATTATTTCCAGGGAAGTTACAATTGTCGTAATTGATGTTTATCGATGAAGGTAATTGTATAGTTTCCAAAATTTGATCTAAATCTGAAGTGTGTAAATTGGACAAAGAAAAATTATGAAGTGAGAAAGATTCACTGTAATTATTTTAAAATCATTAGCATTTAATTATTTGCTAAGTTTTGGTAGATGCAACTTTCTACGTATAGTATATATATAGCCTTTCACCTTGAGTTACTAAAAAAGAGCAACTATAATCGATGAGAATTGACTCGGAACGTCTCTAATTTTAGAGCTCGTTTGAGATTCATACTCAAATACTCTAAAGTTCGTCAAATGTCCTTTCTATTTGTCTTGACTCTGTCAATAAACTGGAATCTATATAAAAAGTTTATTCTAAAACTATAAGAGCTAATGTCTGTCAATGTATCAAGATTTAGCTATAACGTACCTTTATTCATAATTTATCTTTCAGGGCAAAAAAATAATTTCGTCTGAAATTTGTTTATACCCCAGATAACGCTCGGACTCCCCCAGAATGGTTTGGTTCCTAATGTTGCATGATCTCGCATTGGTTGTTACACAAGCAACATTACAGTATCTTCGTCACGTCTCGGTTAAAAAAATTGATAAATTTGACAGCAAAAATAGCTTAACATAATCGGTCATGGACACCATCAAAGAACACATTGAAAGTCGTGATTATGCTGCGCTTGTTGATTTCTGCGAAGATTTAGAATTACAAGTAAACTTTAATTCTTTTTTTGTTTCGCGATTTTAAAAAAGTACGATCGACTTTTCTTTCGTAAATGGTACTTACTTTTTTATCTCAAAATGTAATTACATAGCTTGCCCTTACACCGAACGTCAATATAACCCCAGAAGATTTTTATGGACCTTTCTTACTTGGATATTTATTAGAACAAGATCTGTAAGTAAGTTTCTATTTTTTTTTTTGTCAATAAATTTTTTAGAAATAGTAATAATTGTCTCACGCGAATTTCGAATTCTAGTCCTTCTGCTCGTTTCCTTTGGAAACGATTACCAGACGCCGTCAAAAGTACTTCCAAAGAATTACGAGCTATTTGGGACGTTGGATCAGCTTTATGGCAAAGAGACTATGAAAATATATATGAGCTTATAAGTTCAAAAACATGGAGCCCCATTATCACGCCTTTGATGGAGCAATTGGCCGGTATTTTGCTAGTTATATTAATTATCTGACAAATTATAAGACACTATAGTCACCAATATCACTTCTTTTTAGATAATTTACGAGAACGAATGCTTAATCTTATATCGGAGGCGTATTCTTCTATCGTGATTGATGATGTGGTCAAATATCTTGGTTTTCCGCGTGAAAAAGTATTAACGAGTAAGAATTTGGATAAAATTTAAAGTTTAAAAACATATTTATATCCAAGTGATCCTAAAAAAAATCTTTTAGTTGTCGAAGAACGCGGATGGGAAGCTGATCTAACTACAAATATGTTACAACCAAAGAAAATTAGTAAGCGAAGATTTTTTTTTTGTCCTCGTGTCAGCAAACTTCAAATTTCCGAATTGTTTTATTTATTTATTTATTTATTTTTCAGTTCAAGAAGTTCAGCAATCTACTTCCCTTGCGAATTTCTCCCAACTTACCGATTTAGTCATTCACTTGGAGAAATCTTAAATTGTAATTAGTGATAGTAATATATACTTTTATATCTTTTTTATTATATCTTTAACTTTTACTTTCTATATTTATAACACCTTTTTTCTTTTTTTTTTATAAAAAAAAACAATAGCCAATGCTGTGATGTTTTATTAGATTTAAATATAAATAGATAAAAGATATAAACAAATGGGAACGTACAACTCGAATAAGTAAAAATATTAAATTATTCTTCTAATAAGAGTAAATTGACTTTTATGCCAGGATGAAAGACATTAAATTCATCTACAGCTTGTTGATTTATGCCTCCTAAGACTCTAGCATATCCACCTAAAATGAAATCACTTTCATAGCTAGTCCTATATATCGTAACTTCTTTAAGTGATTTACATTGCTCAATTAATCTCCATAGAGAAAAATTTGGAGTATTTTCGGAAACATTTTCAGGAACATCATAAAGAATTAAATCTTTAAGGGTTTTAAATTTATCAAATATGTCATTTAATAATTCGATTTTAATATCAGTAATTGCAGTAAATGAGAATGATAGTTTCATCAATTGAGGACAATGATTGGCGAGTAAATCAAAAAAAGGATACGTGAAAGAGGGAATTGATCTCATATTATGAATAATTAGTTGTTTAAGGGTATTTTTATTAGAAGCTACTATCTTTTCTAGTCCTTGGATTGTGATTAAAGCACAATTACTAAAATTTATAGATACTAATTTTGTACAATGACTTGACATTGCGATAATTGCATCACATGTGACCTTCATTGATGCCGTTAGTTCTATGCCTTTCAACTTTTGTTTGCCAAATTTCGCAAGAGCATATATTCCAACATCCGTAAGACTAGAACGAGAATTCGCAATGTTTACATATTCAAGATTATGACAAAAATATGTAATCTGAGATATTGATCCATCCGTAACTCCCGAACAATTATCAAGTATTATACTTTTCAACTCTGGAAGATTTTGAATTAAAGCTTTCATGGTTGATTCTGTAATATCCTTTGCTCCAGTCAAATCTAAAATTTCGACAAAATTATGAACCTTCATATTACATAGATTGCGGATATGTATTGTTGAAAGAAATGAAATGTTGCGAATTATTAATTCTCTCAAGTTTGGACAACGCGAAACTACAATTCCCAGCCAATTTTCGTTGACCGTCTCATATAAAGACTCTTGTATCTTATTAACATCGATTATAAAGACACAAAGTCGAGCCTGCTCTCTCGCTGTATTTAATAGTATATCGAGAAAGCTTTGAAAAGACTGAAACGATGTTTTACTATCATTACCAAACTTTGGATATCTCCACAATTTTAAAGTAGCATACTGATTCCATTCTACACTCACAAGTGCACAATTAAATAGTTCTTGAGGTTTTACATAGTTGAAAATGCTATGAAGAGCAAGATCATATCGCTGGTGTTGCATGGTGTAAACAAATAATATAAAACAAAAAAGTTTGAACCTGTTGCAAGATCAAGTCCCATTATAAAAAATGAGAAAAATGTCAGCAGACAACTTTTTTAAACGTGGTGATTTTCACTTTTTGGACATCATATGACTCATAAATCAGATATTTCCAGATATCTGAAAAATCATACATATACAAGTTGTCTCAGCATGGAACTGTATTCAGAAATTGCACGTCTTGGTCTTACCAAAGACGAAAAGACTGCTTTGTGTGCTTATTTTGTAAAGAACCCCGCTCAGAAAGAGGAAGTAATAACCGTTTTGACCACGTGACGAAAAGGTCAGCTTTTTGAAGACCCTTTTGTATTAGTAAGTATCTCCCAATGGCGAACAAGAATTTTGTGATGATAACTAATTAACAGACGCGCCCAAATCAAGGGAATATCAAGACTAGGAGGTCTCGGAGGAAAATATTACCCAGGACTGGAAAGCGTTTCCTTCTATGAAGGCGTCGGTCTTACTGTGCTATCACATTTAAAAGAGAATCAACTATTAACAGACTGCTTAAGGAACGCATTATCCTAATTCAGTCACCACCAATGACTGGAAAAACATCACTACTTGAGGCTGATTAATCATAAATGGACATTTGAGGAGGGATTTGAAAACTTATGAAAATCACTTGGAATGAGTTTCTGGTCATACAAAAACTTATTTGATTATCGATGAAGTGCAAAAATATATTCGCAAGCGAATCAAGAACCTTATTTCGCTCGTGGAGACCATTCAGTTCACCAGTTAATAATCTTACTATGAAAAACAAATGGGATATAAAGATATTTGAAGTTTATTTTAACCAATTTTGTGAAGCACATCTTAAAGAAAAGTTGGTATAAAAGGACATTTCATATCATCCAGGTCTAATTTCTTATACTATGAATCATATTGGCGAAAGATTTATCAAATGGAAAAAGGATACTATGCAATTTTTTCTTATCTAAAATCTCATGATTTTAATGATAGCCTCAAGGTAATGTGTCATATTTTTGTACTACATTATAACTAGTATATTTACCAAACAACTGTGTACTTTTCCAGGTATTCGTGCATATATCCAGCTACTGATCTTTCGGATGAAGAAAGAATAATCATTGATGCTTTACTCTTTAAAAAAGGAAGTCTCGATTTTGAAACGGAGAAAATTCCAAATGATTGCCGACTTCTTAAGATAAATGCACTTGTTGATACAAGTTCGTACGATTCACGCATTGCGCTTCTCGATTTTCCAGCACCATTGCTCCGAGTAACATACCTTCAAAACCGTTTTGGTAGAATAAGCCGACCTAAATCATCTCCTAGCGATTTCAATGAATTTATCAAATTAGTGTTTGCAAAAATGAATCAAAAAATATTGCAAAAAGCAAAGGTAGAGGCGCAGATAGCCTTCTTCTTGAATGCATTTGGCAAGTGGAATTTTACCGTGCCTCAATACATATGAAAATAATTGTGCTTCTGTAGATGCTGATCAAGGGGTTACATAGACTTTTATGTAAAAAGTGGACGATTGAATTATTAAGAGATGGATATAGATTGTAGAACATCAACAAAGGTTTCAAAAAGGTGGTATTAATATCCCTATTCTCAAACATGCAAAGAAGTGGGCGCTTATAAAAAATGTCACACTATCAAAATTCCACAATCCTATCTCTCAAATATAATATTAAAATCACAATTTTTACGAGATTCGTAATAGTGAAATGTAAGTTCCAGATCAAGAAGAAACGTTGAAGGCGTGATCCATGCTGCGCCGATCAACTATAGCCAATCATGTGATTTGAATTGGTTGGCCGATCTGACCAATATGACATATTTACCAGATTTATGATATTCGTTATATGTGTTATATCTGTTAGTTTAGATAGATTAGTTATATTTATTATATTTATCATATTTATCATATTTTATTTACTATTATTTTATTTTATATAAATACTCTATCTTTGACCTGCCAAATGGCAGAGTCATTACAATTCTCTAATAAATCAATAACATTTTATTTCTGAAACTTATCTTTGCTTAAATCTATATCGATAAAGATGACTTGATCCTTTAATTTAATTATTTGTTTATTTCTTTCATAGTTTAGACATACTTAAACTCCCTGCTAGCAAATAATCTTTGTTAACTTAACAACAAACAGTTTAAGCTTAACAACGTAATAAATATGATATAAGTCAAAAACTTTGAATCCAAATTTCTATCAATATATGATGAAAACTCAGCTTATTTATAATAAAATTCTATACCAAATTGCTGTAATTTTGCTATAATGATTGAGTAATAAATATCTAATCACTATGCAATAGTTTTATAATTATAATATATTTGTATTTAAAGAGATATAAAATATAATTATATTGTTCTTTAATTATTATTACATGTCAATACTTGGCTTTTAACTAGTTTCTTCTTGAAGTTTCTTTTTGGAGTTTCTATTTTAGAAGGTTATGCATGTTGTTATGGGCTAATAATCTATTACTTTATCTCTTTATTAATTAATTTGGTTAAGTTCATACATCATTTATGCAGATTATTGTATCATTGATTCTTGTAGATCAATTTTTGTGATCATATTGTAAATTATTTACTATATTACAATTTTCTGTTTTTTTGAGATTATTTAGGTAATAATATAACAATTGTAAATTTATTAATTCAGATAAAAATAGTTTATAAAATAAAATAATTTACATTATCTTTTATTGTATATTCAAAATTAATAAAAACTTTTTATAATTTTACAAATATAAATTAAAATTTTAAGAATTTACATTAACATATCAAAGGATGCTTATTTTTGATTATTATATCATATTGTAAAATGCTTAGTTTTGGAAGATACTTAATTTTGGAATATTATAAAATAAAAATAAACAACATAATGAAAATAAATGAAATCAAAAATATTAAACATATTAGATAGATTTGCAAAATTAGAAAAATCAGAAATTTATTATTGATTATTTAATATAATATTTGATAAACTTATTATTTCATCATTTTATAATTACTGATAATTAGTATAATAAGATTGATTTCATATGTTGATAATACTATATAGTATTCTGCAATTTTTTTTTAATCAAAATTATATAGGAGCTTTATAATAGAAAGAAAGGAAACTCCAAAAAATTTTTTTTGAGTTAATGTTAAATCTGAACTTATTTTATAAAAAAAAATATAATTAGCTTAGAAAGTAAAATTTTAATTTTTTTTAGAGTTTTCTCCCTTTCTATTATAAAGCTCTCATATAATATAACTCTTAATAAATTTGATAAATATCTAGACTTTTTAAATGTTTTAAACTTCTTAGATTCTTAGATTTTCCATTTTCTTAAAATTTTTCTAAATCAGTATAACTATAAATAAAATAAATAGATTATCTATAATTAACCAATTATATTTTAACATATGGGAATGTTTTCAGTAAAATCAAGTCATAAGATATGGGAAGTTTGCTAGGAAAATGGGGTTCTGAGACATTTTTTAAAAAATTGAAATTTTTGATACATATTAATCTA